ATCAGAGTATAAAAAATTATATCACAAATTAATTGGAGCAAATAATACGAAACTTTTACGGAAAATTTAATTTTTCCTCACTTCAATCTTTTTGTTTTTGTCTCAAAATTCAGAATATCTACTTCATTTTATAAGATATTTTTTAATTTTAGGCACCTAAAGTGAAACATTCCCATAAAATATTCAAAGAACACACTAAAAATCAAAAACAGTACTCATGACAATTATCTGTGGTAATTACACCGGCCGTGGTAATAGACAAGTCAGAATCCATCGTCGTCGCCTTATATTATATCTGGGATCTGCCGACTGAATAGATTCCCGTGAACTAGTCTTTTAATTAGTTCCTCTCAGTCTTTTCGGTCTGGGACAGGTCACAGGCTACGATCGCGCTGGTCAATCCGTACGTAAAGTAGTATTTTATTTAGTTCCTCTAGGTCTGCATCCGATAACATACGACTGACACTCCCCACTCGCGCTGGCCGATCCGTAGCCGTCACATATTATTATATATCGGTCACAGTGTCTCGATCCCTGAATAGGTCCTGAAGAACTAGTTCTTTGAGAAACCGGAAACAGTTCCTTTCATTCCGGGGTCGGAATAGTTCATTGGAACTAGTTAGTTATAGGTTCTCTCTCTATCTCCTTATCCATCCACTTCCAAACCTCTGTACAAAACTTCTTTGTCAATATCCTCTCTCTAGCTCTTGCGTGGTCTTCCCCTTTCTCTTCTACCTGGTGGGTTCCAATTTAATACTTTCTCTGGGATTCGATATTCTTCCATTCTTTGTACATGTCCACACCATATTAATTGTTGGGTTCTGATGTCGTCTACGATGTCGTGTTTTATTTCCATTTAGCGTCTGATGGTTTCATTTGGTATTTTATCTTTTTTGGATTTTCCAGCGGCTCTTCTCCAAAAGTGCATCTCCGTAGCTTTTAGCGTTCTTTCAGCTTTCTCTTTCAAGGGAAAAACTTCAGAGCTGTGAGTAAGTATGCTTATTACTATCGAGTTGTTAACTATTTTGTTGCTTTCTATTTTTCGTATCGTTATATTCGTATCCCATAGTATTCCATTTAGAAATGAAAGTGCTTTTCTGCCTTGCATGTTCCTCATTGCCTCATCTAGTGTTCCATCTTTGGATATTTTGATACCGAGATGTTTATAGCTGATGATTTAGTAATTGTTTTAGTTTAGTTACATCCCGCTGGAAGGACCAAAATGTCTGGCGAGCGCTGTTGCTCATTGCAGACATGAATATACAACTTGAGGGTAGTAGTAGCAAGTGGATTGCAACACCAGGAGCCACAAAATGTTGCGAGCTGATTTGCGGGGATACAATTAAAGGTGGGCATGCTCGTCATAGATTGTCATCTCAAGAATCGGCGGATTGGTTGGTGAAAACGGCACCTAAGCTTAAGAATTGGCAGAGGCCGAGATTGATTGCAGTGAAGGGAGGTGAACATCCCTAAAGAGGCGACCATCATCGCTTTTCAGCGGAGGAGCAAAGGGAAAGACATTAGCCACCTGCTTTGCTGAGCCTTATCAAGGCTCAGAACTTCAACAATAAGGACATTGAGTTGCCAAATCATCAACTCGAGGGAGGAGGCCATGGTCAGGTTTTCACAATAGGAATTGACCTCTTCATTCTAATGAAAGAGAAGTTAAAGAAGTGGAAGAAGAAGTTAAAGAGACGGAGACAGCTCCTCCAGCGTCCACCTCACTGGTGCCTCAGCCGGAGATCAGCTCTTTGACTGTGAAGGTGGTTTTTCTTGAGATCTCACAACTTTTTGTAGTGGAAAAATTGAGTAGCGAAACTTTGCATTTTTTTACATTCCATGTTTTTGATGGAATATTTATTTATGCAAAAAATCTTTAAATCTCCCGAATTTCTCCGTCATCTGGCAACCGCGCCTCGGCCACCCGTTATCATTGACTAGAGTCCGTCGCGGGAACGCCTCGCCGCCATCGCGACGGGCCAGACGTCTGCTGCCCGCTTTACACCAGCGAAAAGGCCGGCAGCCGAGTCGGGGAGCTTTGCGCGCCGCCGTAGCCCAGTTTGCACCGGTGTGACAGAGGCGACGCACGGTCGAACGCTAGAGCAGAGAGAGAAAGAGCGAATACGGGGGTGCGGAGGTGAGAGGGGGGAGGATTGGCGCGGCGTTGAAATCGGCGATCGCGACGCCCATAGATCGCGCCACCGATAACCGCCAATATCGCGTCAGGATCGCTCGGGGGGGATTTCGCTGAATGGGAAGGATATGGTGAGGACGGAGACGTCAAGGTGAGAATAGGCGATTGAATGTACCTAGATTTGTACTTTGTTTTAATTAGATATTAATGCTATTCAAAGCACTGTTCACTGGACCAGGATCTTTCACTTTGTAGATTTTGTTGTTTGGAGAAGGTGGCTTCACTTACGTTATTTATCTTTTCCTAAAAAATATGGATATATACGGATATATATGGATATACGTAGATCTTTCGGTATTACTCTGTATTGCAGGATTTCATTCAACATAATCAATATCTATTTCAGCCTCGCCCTCGAGTTCCCCAATCCGTTTTAACAAATAATGGCCTGGATCTTTGTTGGAAAGATTTTCCATGCATGGTACATTTTTATTATGCAGGGTGGTTCGAACTGTATTCCGGAAATTTCGGCAGCATATTCTGCACATATAAATAAGCAAAAAAGTTCGTATAAATGTATGTCCTAAAATGCTTGGTTTCGGAGATACAGGGTGTAGAAATTTTATTTTTATTTAGATTTTTTCCAAATAATTTCTGAATTAATTTGGATGAAAATTGGTGTCTGGGAGTTTTTTGACGTGATAAATTTGATTCTGATGTCAAAATGACTCCTACTTATAGAGGGCGCCACCTACATGTATTTTAACTGTTTTGAAGAGTGATAACTTTTCGTTCGTACCTGTATAAAACTATTGAGTGAAAAATATACATTTCCTTGATTTTTTACGTAAAAAACGTCTCTTGGTAAAAATCACTACGATTAACCGTTTTCAAGATATTTTGAATGGAAATAGTCAATACAAGTCATTATTGACAAATAATAAACGTATTGAGTAGATAATTATTTGACTGAAATGACAAATTCGGAAACATTTTATTTTTTTAAATTATTCATAAATTTTTCTTCGAAAAAATGATGATAAAACAGTTTCTGTTGAACTTTTGGCACAAAAACATTTCAAATTTATCATTTCAGGTTAATAACTATTATGTCAACTTGTTTAATTTATGTCAGTGACGACAGTTATTGATAATTTCGATTCCAAATATCTCGAGAACCATTACTCCTAGCAAATTTTACCAAGAGACCTTTTTTACATAAAAAATGTAGTAAATGTATATTTTTTGCTCAGTAGTTTTATACAGATACGGACGAAAAGTAATTACTCTTCAAACCAGTTAAAAATATGTAGGTGGCGCCCTCTACAAGTAGGAGTCATATTGACATCAAAATCAAATTTCTCATGTCAAAAAACTCCCAGACACCAATTTTCATCTAAATATGGACGGTACTTTAGAAATTATTTCATATTTTTTCAACTGGCAAACAAGCCTTGATGTTCAGTAGTTATGAAGCAATTCAGTTGTTGGACTCAGAAGAACTTCTTCTGAGTTCTCTGAAATGAAAAAACGAGTGTTTAAAAAAACTAAATCGGGTATTTAGATCCGCATGCATCAGTTCCGTTGTCCGACGGCAGCGGCGGGAGTTTAAAAAAAGAGCAGCGATAGACTGAGTAAAAAGGTCTATTGGCTAATCGTAATTAAGCGGTAACCTCGGCTGGGCCAGGCGGCAGCGACGAAGCGCGTCGGCCAGACCGTCGCGTATCCTTTTCGCGGATTTTTCGCCAGCACTCGCCAGCGATCCGTCGTCGTCCAAGGTCGGTGGCGCCAATCCGATTCGGGTTGGTTACTAAACCGAGCGGCCGATCTTTCCGTCTCTCTGTGTGTTTTAATTCGCTATAAATACCTGACTATTATAAATAAATGGGAATATATGAAATCTAAACCACAGCCTAAACGATGCATGTGTCCTGTCAAGAGGCCTGTTGTAATCCGCACTTTATTCCTGCTAGCATTAGCAGTTTGTTTGCGGTTTTAGAGCTAGCTCCTTGGATAAAGGCCTTGCTGTGCCTCTGCCTCTGTCTGTTTCTCCAGTGGACATTCTGCTTTTCCCTGATCCAGAGTTTTAGTGCACTAGCGGCCATACATTTGGGTATTCTCAGTACTGGGTCTGGACCAAGATATAGGATACTGATGATCCTTGCCTATGTCTCGTGTTTAGTTAGTGTCTCTTTAGTAGTTTTTTAATACCTTCCAGTATCTTTTTTTTTATATAGATGGGATACGCCTTAGGGCCGGAGGTGGGGATCTCCTCTCACTCTACCCAGAGGGCCTACCCACTAAAAACCCATCTTTGTCAAACTCCTCAGTCTCCGTCTCCTGGAACCGCCCGGGGCATTACTTCAAGACAGAGGGTTATCTTATGTGTGCATCCTATGTATTAATCGTTGCCCCAACCTTCCTGAAATTTGGTTTCATAATAACCCTCAGCATTTCCGCAACCGCTATGGTCTTCTCTTGGTTTTCACCCATAAGTGCCCTGACGTTATCCAACGTGACCTTGGTGCCGCACCTTGCCTCTGCTACGTCCATAAACTTCCTCCATCTTCCACACTCGAATAGGAGTGTGCTGCAGGAGTATCCTGCTCCTAGCAGCACACAGCGGTCGCTATCTCTTTTGCCCATCATTTTCGTTATGTATGTGCCAAACACCCATGACCTGTGATAGCTCGAGTAAGAAAGTGATCTACCTCCACCCATCCATTCTTGTCCACTCCGCCACATTTTCAATAAATTGCTTTTGCCCAGCCATCATATCTCTGCCAATCCTCCCATTTCATCAAGATGTTTTTTCTTACTTGCAACCTATGTTCCTTGCCCAGCCTGTAGGTGTCGCATCTTTCCTCTACCTACTAATAGGCATGACAACAGCCAACGCTAGTATTGCCGTTGTCGGCGCAGTGCGGTAGGCGCTCGTAATACGTAAGGCCAATCTCCTAATCATAGATTGCAGCATATTTTGATAGTGTTGATATTGTATAGCTCTTCTCCAAATTGGAGCAGCATACAATATTATAGAAGTCACGGCCGATGCCATCGTCCTCCTCTTCATAGCCCTAGGTCCGCCAACATTGGGCATTACCCGCGACAGTGTGTTAATTGCACGTATGGCCTTTTCCACTATTCTGCGGACGTGGGTGGTCATACGCAGACCGCTGTCCAACACTTCACACCTTCCAGTATCTGGCGTAACGTAACCTCCTAAAGCTCCTAAAATTGTTCCTTACACTACAAGATAATTTAACAATACGACACATATAAACTGAGTCTATCAATTATCGGCCAATCTGAGATCGGACACATTGAGAAATGCTATTTTTAGTCGGCGGTCGTTAAAGAGAATCGACGTTTTCGAATGTGATCCAGACCGGGATAACAATCGCATAGAATTGGGACGACGCGAGTTGCCAGACGCGACCTGCGTGCCGTGCAGCTGGCAAACGGCCGCCGACATTCCCATAAATAAAAATCGGCTGGAATCCGCGGCGCAACAATATTTTTGGATCGGACGAGACGAACAGACAGTGGTCAATTCTTCAGACTAATAAAAAGATAACATTTCATCTATTTCTTTTGGCCAAGGTCGCTTTTATTTTTTTTCCCAATAATAAGGGGCCGTCAACATTGCGACTTGTAATACCTATTGGGTTTGTCCCCTTTCTATATCTGCACCCATTCTCCTAACTCTGTACCCTGCACTAACTTGTGTAGGTTCTTGATAGGATCGGAGCATAGTTCCTCCGGTTCTAGCCTTGCTTTCCCAGATAGAAAATTTCGCTAGAGATCCAGTGTTTCAGGATCTTTATCGCAGAGTCTGCAGCAAAAAGACTTCTTTGATTCAAGTTGAGCTTGTTCAGGTAGCCATATGTCCAGTAAAGAGACCTGTTATAATCCCCACTTTATTTCTGTTAAGCATTAGCAGTTCCTTTGTGCTTTTAGAACTAACCCTTGGATGAAGATCGTGCTATACCTGTGTCCCTGTCTGTTTCTTCAGTGGACATTTTGCTTTTCCCTGAACCAGTGTTTTATTGCACTACAGGTTATACATTTGGGTATTCCCAGTACTGGCTCTGGACCAAGACAGGATTCCGATAATCCTTACCTTGCTAGTTCATCTAGTTTTTTGTTGCCTTGGATACCGCTGTGGCCTGGCACCTAGAATAATTTAATTCTGTTCTTTTCTGTCTGAGCTCTGAGTTTACCCAGGCATTCACAGATGATACCTTTGGACTCATAAGCGCCTTAGAGCACACTTGAGTAAGCTCTTCTGTTGTTTTCTCTCGCGCATTGTAGAATGGCGAAGATTTCTGCCTGGAATATGGTTGAATATTTACCCAACGAAAAGGATAAGCTTACCCTTGGTCTTTCCTCAAATACTTTAGCTCCTGTTTCGTCAGCGGTATTTGAACTGTCTATATACCAATTTAGTCCGTCCTGGAGGAATATTGTATCTCCACATTCCTCGATCCATTATCTTCACCATGGTTTGTGATAGTGATAGTGAGATAGTGATAAATACAATAAATACAATGGAAGTTCGAACTTCTTTTAGTGTC